CTCGCCGAAGAAAGTTATTAAAACTTCGGCAATTTGTTCACTTCACCGTGTACGCCGTAAATGGATAAAATCTGCACTCTGTACATGATTTCGGCGAGGCAAATAAAACTCTTTACGACGGGTGAATTTTATTTAGCACGCGTACACGTGTTTCACGGCTAAAGGTTTAAATAATATATCCCCCGGCGCGGTGAATAAATAATGAGTCAGACAAAATATGTTAGTCAAAACAAAATGGTCGGATCTACCTTAAGAATATTTCATTATCCCGGTGGCCCGTGCGAGTGCTTTCGCGAGCGACCCTATATACAGGGTGTTCCATTATTAATGGTACAACTCGCAGGGGGATGATTCTCCATAACGCAATTAATTAACAACGAAACACAGTACTGTATAAGAGGATTCCATTTTCAAGAGACTTAACTTGGAAAATTCATCTGCTGTTCATCCGAGTGAACAATTAGTAAAAACGGCACCTAATGGTCAAACACATTAGCCGCGTCTGATAAGTATTCAAATTAAGTTTCCCTGAGAATAAATCTCTATGAACTTTCGATTTATTTTTCCACAGAATCATCCTCGTGCGAGAGCTATCAAGAATAACGGACCAATCGTGTATACAAGGTGGTCCAAAAGTTACGTTGCATTGTAGAATAAAAGGTCCATTCAATTGGATCGTAGTTACATTGTATAATACAATGATCATTTAAAGGGAAAACCGTATACTTAAGAGAGACATCCAGCCACTTGCGACGCGACTTTCGGACCACCCGGTGTATATTTTATTTTTCTAGAAACATAAGTTCCGGTCTTTACGTTGAATTCCGGCGTTTCGTTTGTAAATATAGAGAACCATACCTGATTTGTTCGTTAGAACGAGCGGACGTGTAACCGATGAATTTACGTCACGGGCTTTCTGGTTGCGAAACGGCAAACGAAAAAGTCCCGAAACTTCGAACGGATACATATCTCGTTGGCTGTCGCGTAAGACGTTCGGTCAGGACACCGCTGAATTACTTTACAATTCAAATGGCCGCGCGCGTCCCCCGGGGATTTTTCATTCGCCGCTCCGGCAAACGATCCACCTTTTCCCCCGTTCGATTATAATTTCCGATAGGTACCGTTCGGATACATGCTCAATTTACAGGACAATTAATAAACAAAGTTTGTTTATCGATGAGTCTTTCATTCGACGTGCCCCTTTTCCCACCCCCCGTTCCGCGCACGGATGCGCGAACGGTAATTTGTTTAAACAAGAAAATCACCGCGATGTTAATAACGTTCAATAAACAGAACAAGTCGCCGGAGAAACGAAACCGCGGTGCCATACTTGCTGACACCGCGGCAGCAAGATGATAATGAAGCTGGTTGCGCCACCTCCGTGTAAAATGTTTTACACCGAAGGTTTCATTTCATTACTTTTTTTTTTAACTGACACGCGTGATCGTTGATTAAAAGTACCATTTCTGCGCGTATCGAAATATTTGAGAAATTGATACGTAACAGCGGAATAATTGTAGTTGTTGTTTTTTTTTAAACAATTTTTATGGAAGTTGATAAGTGACCACACCAAGGTAAAAAATAATGCGGAAATTAATTAGTGTTATTGACACGCGTTAAACAGTAGATGTTGCGTGACTCTTCTCTTGGCAATTATGAATGAACGACGGTATCCTTCGCGATACGGCGTCGTGTTATACTGAGTTACGGCCACTGTTAACCGTCGTGTTAAGTCATAAACAAAAGGAGCGTACATACCTTCTCTTGCGTCCGATTCCACACAATTACGCTGTGCCCACTGTTGATCAGGTTTTTTACGATGCCGCTACCCATGATACCCAAACCAAGGAACCCAAATTTCAAGGTCGACGGAAGGATGTTTTTCTCTTTAAGGGTTTGCGACAATGTTTCCACGTCTAAAGGCGGTGTCACCTGCCGTGCAAGGTAGCAAGATATTAACAATACAGTCTGTAATAAATTGGGCTGATTTGCAAAATTTCATACAACGGAATCTGAGAACACAAAGTAAAGCTAACGGTGACGGGTATGGAATTAATAATTAATAACCATGGCGCGACAAAATGAAAAGAAATTATAGCACGGCCTCTTGTTCGTGTGGCATGTTAATCCGATAATTATATAACAGTGAAATTTTGAAAACTATTGTGAAATCGTTTTTTTAATGATAGAAAAATAATAGTCAAATTGGATACCTTTTATTAAATATTCCAACAGAGTAAAAAAAGCACTTAAGGATTCAATAGGAATGATGCAATGAACCAAGTTCAGTAAGTTACAAGATACTTTGATATTCAATATAAATAAAAACCGTTTTTATTGTAATGTAACATTCGACTATGAAATTACTTGCATGTGATTAGACTCAAAATAATTCTGACAAGTATTGAAATTACTATGGTTAAAAATCAACTTCGACATGCAAATTTTTTTGTAATTAAATTAATTAAATTTTTACTATATGAATCTATGTCACTAATGATAATGAAGAACATAATAAATATTTTAATAATATATGCTTCCATTACAAAGATCTGTAGTTACGTTCGTATGAATGATGTAAATAGTATATATTGGAAATTGTAATAAAAAATATCGATTTTATAAATGAACAGGAACCCGAGGAAATGTAATAGTTTCTCTATTTATTTGTTTTTTTTGTAAACTAAGAAAAAGTGTAGTGTAATATTTTTTAGTAAAATTAAATATTTTTGAACAAAGAAAATTAATTCTGGGCAGAAAAAAAATTACAATTGTAAAAAATATTCTTTGCGGCTGATAATTCAAACAATGACACTTTATTTTTATTTTACATTTTGAATAAAAAAAAAATTATTATATCTATTAAAATTATTAAATGATGTTAAGTAAAATGTACTTACAGGTCTGGCAATATTTGCAGGCCTATTAAGGAGAGTTGATCCTGACTTTCTGAGAGGCGTTGAATGGTTCAATGCAGGACTGATACTGCCTACTCTATTACTGTTACTTGTACTTGATTCTCTACGTTGCTTTTTGGCTGGACGTCGAGCATCACTCGCACTGGTATCCATTCTCTTAGTTTTTGGCGTTTCCTGAATCAACAATTTTCATAATTACTTTATGTTATACATAGAACATAGGCCTGTTTATAATAAAACTAATTTGGTTTTCAATGAGCAATCACAAAAATGTAATTTATAATCTGAACCTAACCTTACGAGGCTTAGGAGGTTTTACTACGCTCTTCTCCTTAGACATACTTTCTTCTTTAAGTCTGTCAAATAAGGAGTCAGGGTCTAAACCATCCTCAAACACCTAAAGCAAATAATATTGCTGCATAGTGAAACTTGTTCTACTTAATAATCACATATGTATTACCTATTCATTTATGGCTTATAATATATAATAAATAAAAATAATAATGATTCATGTCACCTATACGTTATTTGTAGAAGATTTTATTTTCAAATGTTATTTTTTATAATATATAAATAACATGTGTTTCATTTCTATTATTAAACAACTTACCTCTCCATTAGCAATAAACTCTTCTATTGCCTCTACAGCATCTTTAAATGCACCAGATTTACTAGATTTTACAAGAGTATCTTTGTATTCAAGATATGGCTTTATATTGGACTCCTCTATCCATGCGCTATAAGAAACATTATAGTAAGTTTCAAAAATTAACAGGTAAACAAATATTAAAACCAAAATGCTTAATTAAAACTTACTAATTATTTGTTCCAAAGAAGAATATGCATTGAACTGGCCCCTTCTTAGTATTTGTTGGTTTCTTTAAGTCCTTTGAAGGATTTGACACCTTAAGATGCCATGGGGAAATTAATGTATTTTATTTCTGAACATATTATTCTAATCAAAAAAAAATTAAATGAAGAAGCAATAATGCTATTAAAAATAATAGTGTGCCAATAACATTTGTATTTTATAATACATGTAAATTACACAAACGTAAATAAATATCACGAAATTTTAATTATTAATCAACGTTCGGCGTAAAATATTCTCCTTAAAACACGTTACCATTTGAGAAAATAAAATCACAATATATAAATTTTATAAAATACTACACCAAAGATTGTTACTACTAGAAATCAGATTTGATATTTTCAATTTTCGTTTGTTATTAATCTACCATATAAGATAAAACGACATACTAAACAAATCATTATAATTTAAGGAATAACATTTCAGTTGCATAAAATATTTTATCTAGACCTAGCCGAACGGAAAACAAATCGTAATTGCCGCGGGAACTCCGTTCAACGACTTCGTTTATAAATGCCAGGACAACCTGGAAATTTACATTTGATTGTCTCAAATAGAAGGAATAAAATAATTTTCGGAGCAACTAAAAATACGTAATGTAAACATGAAAGTTATGGTTCATTTCGGAACATCGTGGCGAAAGTTATGAAATCGCGGAGCGTAATTTAGGTTATATTTTCGTAGCCTGCGCGCCAATTTGAATTCGAAGGTCGGGTGTGGCGGGAGATATGCAATGCGGGCCAACTGTAGAGTCGATAAGAGTAGAGAACATAATTCCTTTGCGATATAAAAGCACGTATCTAAGAAATGAACTCGGATAATATACGGGACACGTTCCCGCCAAATATGATGGCCGCGTTTGACTTCGTGGCGCGTACAGTCAAGCAAAGTGTAGTTAACACAGAACCGTTAGCAGTCAACTCGCACTTACCCGGCCAGGCCAAGGCGAAAATCCCTTCATCTTCGCCCTGAAATCCATAAAGACATCAATTAGTAATCACTGGTATTTAGATTTCACTACTTCTATTAAAAACATTTAATAAGTAACACATTACAAGTACACACCATACTAAATCACCCAGTTTGAATACCTCCGACATTATAAAACCCTCTGCCTTCTCTCACGATCGGCAAGCGACTGACTGACGAGTAGAGCGTCGTTTGTGCATGACGACGTAATCCAAATTACCCCCTCCAAAAGACATGAGTCAAACGAGCGTTTCCTTTTTATCGTTTATATTTTTATTTGGAAAAGTAATACTGGCAATTATATACGTGCGTCAATAGATTGAATAAAATATAGAATATTTTATAGAAATAATAATATAAATAAATCATTCGTTTTATATCGTGTATTTCCGGAATAGAAAGAATTCCGGTTCGTTAAACTCCCGTCCTACAACCTGGTTTTCAACAACAATTCTCTAACGACCAATCAGCATTCAAATTAGAATTATATTTTTTTATTATATTAAATTTAATCTGAGTATGTAAATTATAACATAAAAAAATGTAAAATCTAATATACTATAATTGATCTGTTATTATTTATTAATGATAAAAATGGATCACTTAAAAAAATCTAATAAAAATAATAGACGTGACTTTATGGCGTAATCTACTGTCACGACGGTACAGCCTAGCCAGCTGTCAGCCATCGATTGTAAGAACTTTTGCTGCCTTAGAAAGCAGCGTTACGTACAAAAACAGTATTTTCTATTTCTTACGCGGGACTAGGATTATTTACACGTGCTTCATAGAAATTTCGTGAGGAATGGATAATAATAATCGGTACAATATGGTATGTTTTGTAAACAGCACGGATCACGATACGTAATTCTCATATATAATGTTTCAAAGACTACTTAGTTGGTTTACAATCCATTGTCGACTGCCAGAGTATTTTTTTGCTTTATAAATATAATTTACACATATAGAATAATATTATCATACATTGCGATACAAATCATGTTCGAGCATTGACAAACAGAGCCCGGAAAACATTGTTCTATCTGATCGTCAATTGTTTTTTTCTAAATGCAGCTTGTATGGAAAATTAAATGAAACAGTATTTTACTTTATTACATTGTTTTGATCACCTGAACATTGCATAGCTATAAAATATCCTTTCGTTTTTACTACTGACATAAAATAAATGCATTCCTTGTTGCATATCTTATACTTATTAGTGACTCATTTTCAAAACAAGTGTTTGTCATTCAATTTTAGCCTTCACAAACAAATGATTCCAATGGGGAACCATCATCTCAAAATGAGATACCTACTTTAACTGTATCATTACCTGTTATGCAAAACGATTTATTGAGTCATTCTGGAAATATTGCTGCAGCACAAACTTCGATTGAATGTAGAATGGTATGATAAAACATTTATCGTATACCATAAATTGATAGGTATTTATGTGATTTATATTTTAGGGCGAAGGAGAAGAAATACCACCGCCTAAAGCTGATTTTTCTGCTCCACCTCCTTATGAAGTAGCCACTAAATTGCCTAGTTATGAAGAAGTGCAACGTGAGAAAACCTTACAAGGAGAGCCTCATCCTCAAATACACATGGTACTTGATCATATCTGTCTAAAAGATAAATTATAATACATGGATTTAAAAGTAAGATATTTCATTCATCTTCTTTTCATAGCCTGGCAACATTAGAGCACCACAGCAACCATTAACGATCCTTGCTATAGATACCGATGCTGCAGAAGGAGATCCAGAAAGTGGTTTACTTGGGACGGATTTTATGTTCTTTACAGCATTTATGGGTAATTTATTATAACTTACGTATTAATACACTTACTTTGTCAACCATTGTTTTATATAAATTTTTCTTCATCTGTTACAGTTGCATTTTTATTCAATTGGATTGGATTTTTACTTTTGATGTGCTTCTGCCACACAATTGCATCTCGTTATGGAGCATTATCTGGCTTTGGCTTATCATTAACAAAATGGACATTGATTGTGAAACATTCCACTGATCTTGCATCTCGTGAAAATTCATGGTTGTGGTGGTTGATAATGGGATTTGGTTTGTATCTTTTGATGTAGTATTAATCATAATACAAACAGAATTGATCTTATCGAATTCTTAACATTCTTTTATCGATAAAATGTATTTAAATTCCAGGGGTATTGATTTGTGCACGAGCAATTGTGCAATATTTGAACATTAAACGTGGTTGGAGACTATTGCCTGGAAGTGCTCAGGAACGCTTACTCTTTTTTTATTAAGCCATTAAATCTGCACCTTTATCTACCTTGGCTTTAGAAGAAACAGCATTTCTATTTGGGGTTGTATTTGTACAATATATAACCATCCTCTTTGAAAATATTACTTTATATTGGCTACATATTATTCTATTACTAGGAAAGAAGGTTATTGAAATTATTAAGACTATTTGCCAAATTTTGCTTAAGTGTAAAATGAAATAAATGAGGCAGAGTAAAATGAAAAATAAGAAAATAGTTACTGCACACGTGTTTTATGTGTTACCGTCACATAAATACATTAAAATGTGAATTTTTATTGCTCAAAAAAAATACGAACAACTTTTTTATAAGAATTATTGTTAATTTGTGCACTGATCTATTAAATTTAAATTGCTTGTTTACATATGCTATACATATGTAAGTTCATTACTCGTGGAATTAGTGTTACAAGGACAAAAATTTATTTTGAAAGAGAAAACATATAAATACTGTTTCCAAACAGGTATCAAAGTGTAAAAGTTCTAATAGTGATATTGTGTAATACACTCTAGCGTTAGATAAGCTTTTAGAATTTTGATTATACATGATCTGTGTACTGATAATCCGAATCGCTTGTTTGTATATTACAATAATTTATAGAAAAAATTCTTACTGAATTTCAAGGTATAAGTTAATCATATAAAGTATATATATGTATGTATGTGTATGTATATATGTGCATATGTACAAACACATATAAATGTATAAAACAAATTATTGCAAAGCGATATACATTATATGTTATACTATCAAAAACTTCATTGTTATATACTTATTACAACAATATAAAAAAATTAGTAAGTCTTATGTTTTTATGTATACCTGTGTCAGTATATTATTCCCTGTTACGATTAACTGAAGTATAATATATGATTATAGAAAGAATTAATAATATTTATGTACGTATTATTATATTTTTTTTGATTAATTATTTTCAACCTTGAATATAATATCAGTAAAGCATTTTCATGGAAGGTCCTATGGTGTAATGGTTAGCACTCTGGACTCTGAATCCAGCGATCCGAGTTCAAATCTCGGTGGGACCTTTAATTTTTATAAAACTAATAAATTTAAAGCGAAGGTAATTATTTTTAATGATATTTAACAAAAAAGTCTTCAGATTGACATATAATTTATAAAATTTATCATTTGAAAGTACAAAAACTATTACATTAAAAATGAGCAGTTTATAAATACTATAAGTAGACTTTGAATGGTACACACATGTTAGAGGGCAGCACTACAAATATGATTTAGTATAATAGTTGAGCAAGCAAACAAAACTTTGAAATACAATTTCATAAATGGATACATATTAAATAAAATATGGAAGATTCAATAAAGAATCATACTCGTACCAGTGAAGATAATCCACTTGTTTTTTTGGATATAGCTGTGCAATCCGAAAAAGGTAAGTCATAACATACGGTTAAAATCATCTAGCTATAAAGTTTAGTTTCTGCTTTTTATTTATTCATTTATGATTCATTTTTGTGAATATTATTAATCATGTTTATGTTACTGTAACGCAGTTGGAAGAGTTGTGATAGAGCTGTTTAAAGATGTGGTACCACGAACAGCAGAAAATTTTCGTGCCTTGTGTACTGGAGAAAAAGGCATTGGAACTTATGGCAAGAAATTACATTATAAGGGATCAATATTTCATAAAGGTATAAGAAATAGAAGTATTATTTAATAAAGGTAATATAAGGAATAATATTTTATGACACAACATTTGTGTGCTTAGTATTACCACAGTTTATGATCCAAGGAGGAGACATAATAAATTTCAATGGAACAGGCGGAGAAAGCATATATGGAAGAGAATTTGAAGATGAGAATTTTAAACTGTCGCATATGTCAGGAGGATTATTGAGTATGGTAAATAACGGTGTACCAAATAGCAATAGTTCTCAATTTGTCATTACAATTTCTGCTAGCATGCACTTAAACAATACCAATGTAGTTTTTGGTAAAGTTTTAAAAGGTATGGGTGTTATATTAGAAGTATCTGAAGTGACCACAATAAAGGATATACCAACTGAGGTAAAAAAACAGTTTGTTTTATTTTTTCTACACTTAGAACATTTTAATGATTTGAATGTTTATTATTCATAGAAGATACACATAACTGATTGTGGTGAAATAAAACCAGGTGAAGATTGGGGTTTAAATGAAAATGATGGTACAGAAGATATTTTCCCTGCATGGCCAGAGGACTGGGATTATGCAACAGACACGAAAGAACTTGATGCAAGTATCTTAACAAAGGGAAATATATCCTTTAGAGGAAACTTTTTTAATAATAATTATATACATTTATAGTATATGTATATCATAGAGGTTATTAAGAAGATAAAAGATTCTGGAAATTATTATTTTTCAAAAAAAAATTATGTGGATGCAGGGAGGAAATATAAAAAAGCATTACGTTATTATAAATGGATGACTAGTACAACAATTATATCAAATTCTTCTGATGACCTAATGGTAAATACTAAACTGATTATACTACTTAATCTTGCAGCTGTTAAATTAAAAGAAAAAAAACATCGTGAGGCATTGAAGTTATGTACAGAGGTAAGGTTTTAAAGAATATTCTGTATATAACTATATTATTTCTTAACATTGATTTTCTACATAGGTTCTGCAGATGGATAAGAACAATAGTAAAGCATTATTCCGTAGAAGTCAAGCGTACATGGGATTGAATGAATATGATTTTGGCTTAAGAGATTTAAAACAAGCATTATTAGGTTCTCCTAATAATAAAGACATTTTAATGGAAATTGAGAAAGTTAAAAAGATTATGAATACATATTTAGCAATTGAAAAAGCATCATGTCAAAGAATGTTTAAATAAAACCAAAGTATTTTTTAATAAATTTGTAAATATACAAAAATTTTATATATATATATGTATTAAATTAAAAATAATATAACACAATTTTTATAACTATTAATGTGTAATAAATTTTGTAAACTTCTTG